CGGCTTATAAACAACTGCAATTTATTTCTTACAGTTCTAGAGGCTAGGAATAACAAGATCGTGGCATCGGCTGATTTGTGTGTGGTGAGGACCTCCTTGCTGGCTCATTGATGACTCCTTCTAGCTGTACCCTAGCATGGTGGAAGGAGGCTACCTAGTTCTCTGTGTCACTTTTATAAGAGCACTAACCCATTGTTGGGGTCTGCCCTTAATCAGTGGTATTACATTTCAACATATAAATGTGGGGACCCACAAATATTCAGACCATAGCAGAAGACAAGAGTGGCATTAAGGACAACAGGTAGAAAGAAGGTGATTGTGGAAGTGCAGGTGAGATAGAGGGCTGAGAAATGGCTGACATCAGAAAGACTGATTAAGTAGATGGTGCATGTGGTAATAAGCACATATAATTGGCCACAGGCTGTAAACAATAATGAAAAGTGGACACATTTAATTTAGGGTATCCATATGGTACTATTAAGGCTTTCAGTGCTTTAAAAACTAATATCATTATGAAATTATCAGAATGTGGAGTTCTGGTCATATGAAATATGACATAAAACACCAACTTAATGAAAAATTTAAGTGGCTCTTGAAATGTAACAAAAATATAGTAGAATGTTGACTCATAGGCACTCAAAAATTGGGATTTTTTTATACAGCATGAAGCAATTCTTGTATGAATATTTCTGTTTTGTGTAATATATTTACATTTCAGTCTAGACTCTCTGAACTTCAGTTTTCCCAATTGTAAAACAAAGATTTTAGCTATGCATTGCTGGCTTGTTTTAAGAACTAAATAGAACAGAGCTTGGCATATAGGAGAAATTTAGCCAAGCAGTTTCTACTGTTAATATCTCACCTGAAAAAATACCTCATAGAAAAAAAAGTTTTGAGTAATATGGTAGTTGGCTCTAAATGAAGTTATTTCATTTTTCCAACCTCTTTTATTAAAGGTTTGAAAACTCGTAAGTAAGGAGTACAGTATTTTGTTACTCATTTTTGGTATTGTTCATAGCCTTTCCATTTATTTCTAACCTGCTTCTCTCATAAGAATGCAATATCATTGTGACAGTAAGCTTAATTGTCAACTTGATTGACTTGGAAGCTACCCAAGGGATTGATGAAACACACTTGGGTTAATCTGGGTGGGTTTTAGAGGTGTGACCTCGGGTACTATGTCTGTTCTCTTTCCACTTACTGTCACTGTTCCCCTATTCTTTGTCACTCAGCCACCATAAACTAAGCAGCTTGCTTGACTGTTCCCTTCCACCATGATGTTTCTGCCTTGAATCATACTGACCGTGGATTGAATCCCCTGAAACCATGGGCCAAATCAAACCTCTCCTCCTTTAATTTGTGAGTGTTGGGTATTGAATGCCAGCAATAGAAAAGCTTATTGGTGAGGAAGCTAATATTCAAGGAAATTAATTAAGATGATGGTCAAATCACCAAGTAAGTTTTTATACAAATGAAATTAGCATCTAAAGATAAATTTCAGTGATGTATTGTCTGTGTTTCACATGCTGGGATCATTAATCAGGGACCTGAAAGGTATCTATAGCTTCGATGATTGCCCCAGAGATTTGGCTCTCCTTGCTTATGGGTATGGTTGCATGTACTTTTCCTTGTTTATTTCCTCTGCATTTTGAATGGTTGCTCTTTGTTGTGTGTCAGGGCCTGTTTGTTTCTAAAAGCCAGAAGCTTCCATAATGAGCTAAGAAATGAGGTCTGAATCAGAGAAAGGAGTTAGAAATAAATAGAAAGCCTGGTTATAAGCATGAATATCAGAATGTTCATTATTTATAATTTCTTTAAACATTATTTCTTAATAGAATTTTGGAGGAAATGAAGTAATTTTATTTAAAACCAAGTACTGCATTATCAGAAATATTTTTTTTTCTGTTGAGGTATTTCTTCAGGAGTTATGTTAACAAATTTCTCCTATATGCCAAGATTTGTGCATATCTTCCTGCTATGAATTAGTTGAAAGAGACAACTTGTGAAGAGAATAAGAACTCTCTAGTGTTTTGTCCGTACTTTGCAGAATATTAGTTTCTTTGTTTTACCATTTTTCCTTTAGAAGTTTAGACCACTTTAGCAAATGCCAAAACATAATAGTACTTTTTAAGCCTAGTTTGGGTAGTGTGTAATCAAGTTCAGAGCCCTTTTTCCTTTTCAAGTCAGGGATATTAAAAAGCCTAACAGGGACCAGGACATGTATCTCAGTGGTAGAGCACATGCCCAGCATTTGTGAAGCCCTGAGATTAGTCTCCAGAACCACCAGAAAAAAAAAAGTTTGAAGTCACCTGTACTGGACATAACATGATTTTTACCAAATCAATAATAGTTGGCTATGGGACTGGGGATGTAGCTCAGCAGCACCATGCCTACCTGGTAAGTGCAAGATCTTGAGTTAGATTCCCAGTACCAGAAAAGAAAAGAAAAAAAAGGAATAAAAATAATAGTTGGCTATAAAATGTTAAAAACCTTTTATTTTTGCCTTATAATCAAATTTAACAGGTACATTTGCCTTTTCTCAGAAGAAAATAGTTATGAACCTTGTGCTCAAATATTTGGGGAAACATAATGTTGCCAAATACAAGACTTTGACATGGTAGGCACTGCAAAGTGCAAGCTGATGGGAAGCAGACTCTTTGAAACATTAGAGAAGAGGTGTAATCCATCCAAAATGGCATTGTGGGATTTTGAGAATTAGACCATCCATTGTCTTGTTGATATTTTGCTTAATCCCTAGTATAGTAGTATCTCATTAACATTCCTTTCTTTTTCAGTTTTTTTGTTTTGTTCTTTGAAACAGGGTCTTGCTATCTAGGCTGACCTGGAACTCACTATAGCCCTAGCAGGCCTTGAACTCACAGCAGTCTTCCTGCATCAGTCTCCTGAGTGCTGGGGTTAAAGGGTTATGCCGCCACACCTGGCTTTTTATGTTTTAAATACGTCTTGAACTTTTAAGCTTTCAAGTAACTGGGAATCTAAATGTGTGAAATTCTTTAAGAAAATGAATGCCCAGAGAGCATAAAATTCTTTGAAATACTTTTATACTCTGCTTTTTAAGAAGTTGGGGCAGGAGATCCTTGTCTAACATCATACACTGATGACATTTAAGCTTAATTTCCAAAAGATAATTAAATGCCAATGATCAGAAAATTCTTACACACACCTACTTCTAATTTGTCACCTTATTGTTACCATTGACAGATTCACATGGATAACTTCATTTGACTTTTTCACTTCAAGGCAAATAGTAAATGTGTCTGAACTTTGAATATGTGTACTTAAATTTTGTTAAAAAAGAATATGTCTTTTTTTGTAATACTTTACTTCTTCATATGCCTTATTCTCAGATAACAAATCATTTCTTCGGTACTCATATGTAACTCAAGTTTGAGCTGTGGAAATAGTTACTGGGGGTCACATACGTGTGTGTGTGTGTGTGTGTGTGTGTGTATGTTATGTGAACCTTAAAGTAATCCAGCAAAATGATTTTAAGATAGTAATTTTTACTAGAAGCAGTAAATTTTTTTTTTTTTTTTGGTACCGGGGATCGAACTCGTGTCCTTGTGCTTGCGAGGCAAGCGGCAGAACCACTGAGCTAAATCCCCGGCCCAGCAGTAATTTTTTTAAAGAAAGGTAATCATTATATCTCACACTTTAAAGTTCACTTTGGTATTTCTTTTTTAGCATTCTTGAGAAAGACACTTATAAACTAGCATTTTTCTTTAGTATCGCCCCTCATTGAATTTTTCAATTATATTACACTTTTTAATTACACTTGAAATTAGAGGCACATACTTCTCCAGGACAGCTTTATGCTAAATAAATTCTGTGGAGGTCATAAACACAGTTTCACAAAAAGAAAATAAGCAAAAATGGTTTCTATGGCAAATATTCCCAATTTCATTACCAAAGTATAGGGGAAAAAAAATACCCACATTTTATTGGTAAAACCCAGTCTGCAGACTGTGCAGGTATGAATGAAATGCTACTACAGTTGCATAAGTTGTCATTTTAATTAATTTTTAACCACACGAGTAACATATCACTTCAAAAAGTACTGTATGAATAAGGCATTCTCCTCTGGTTACCACACATCAACAGGTATGTCCATACTGTATAAAAATACAATTATAGAATGACTAAATTTTCAGTATTCTCTGAGGAAAACTTGTCCACCATTTGTAAGTCTTCCTTGTTTATTTGATTGAAGTTCCCTCGGGATAAGGAAAACTTTATTAGAACTGCTAACAGAAACTATTTCTAATTATATTTTCCTATTTATATTTGTATAGTATTATTCTACAAGCTGTCTATCAGATAGCAATCATTTGAAGCTATTATATGGTAGGGATATTCCATACATTATTTCTAGTACTATTATCCCTATGTTACTGATTAGGAAGCTGAGACTTAGGGAAGCACTATACTGTAAATAGTGTATTCTAAGGCCCTATAGTGATGGGAAGTGGTGTGGCAGTTGGATTCCTCCTTCTGATAGGTTATTTTCTTGGCATCAAGTTGTTTCAGAGGATCTGATGTATACAAATATAATTGTTTAATGTCTTTGATGTATTAAATAGTATAAAAGTTTTAAATTCTCATTCTAATGTCATTCTGTGGGCATCTTCCCCTTTTTGAAAGAGAATATACTAAAGGCGTAGCCACAGATACTGAGTGGAATCTGCGTACTCAGAATGGACTCTATTTGTCAGTTGAATGTCAGCTCAGGTATAAGGCCCCAAGAAGCATAATTAATAGTAGTATAGAGCAATTTCAACTCTTTTGGACAGTTAATGTTTTTTAGAAAAGCACAGCACATTATTCTCCAGATCCTCATCTTGATCTACTATTAATTATAACATTCTGGTTTCAAGCTCTTGAGTAGTTTTTTGGGGTTTTTTTGATGGGTCATTGAAAACTTTAAATGAACCTGCGATACTTCTTGACTGAGAATCTGCCCTGTTTTTCCCTTTTTCTAGGTCTATTATTAGCAGAAGATTTTTCTGCATAGTTGGCACGCTGTACCTGTATCGGTGTATTACAATGTATGTAACTACACTCCCAGTACCTGGTATGCATTTCAACTGTTCTCCGAAGGTAAACTATTCCTCACTGTAATTTCCCTTTTTGTTTGTTTCTCATCTTGCTCTGGGGTCCTTTGACTAAGGTTGAAGATGAAAATCTCTTCAGAATACAGGCAGGTCCCTCCGCCCTTGTCTGGGAAAGTCACTAAGCACTGGAGTCAGCCGCCACACCCTTCTAGAGTTCCCAGCTCTGTGGGCACCCCACTGGGGAAGGAAGTGTGTAGTTTCCTGAATGTGCTGCAAGTGTTTGGGCTTTGAATATGGGGATAGCTCTTTGATTTTCTCCAGACTTTTAAAACATCATCTACTTGCTTGACACAGATCTAGAAGCTTTCAAATGGTTTCTCCCTCTTGTAGACAGAAAGTTTCATTTCAAATGATACTCTTCCCTTTCTCCTTTCTGTTATTTCCTATAGCAGAGCAAGCAAGAGAAAATAATCGTATCTCTCCAGTTCCCCAGTTCAGATAAGGCCACTGTTTTCTGGAGGTACATGTGGCCATAGATCTACTACCTTCTCTAGTAGCATAGTTGTTTTTAAAAATAAACTTTGTTCCTCTCTTATTGTCTCTACCTTTCCTTTAGGTTCATGTAACCCTCTCTGTCCCCTCACCTTTATCTTGGAAGAATTTTTAACTGTAGAGATCATTGGAATTTCATGAAATAGAAGATTTAATTTTAAAATGTTTACATGCATTAAAACTCTTTAATGCAGTAAGAAATAGAAGGGGTTAATTCCCCTTTTCTTATTTTGGTGGAAGGCAATAAGAGCTTCTCTGATGTGTTTGAGGTCATTTCTCTGCAGTGCCCCTATACTGGCATACTTTCATCTCTTTGTCCTTCTGTTCCTTCAGAAGAGACACTCTCTGGGAGAGAAGCTTTGGAAAGGAGGCTGAAAATCCCTCTGGATTTTTAAGGTGGCATCCTTATATGAAATTTTGGATCTTGTTAGTTTTTGTACTGTTGTCTCCCTTCCTTCCTAGACTTACATATGTATCTATAGAGGTGGCTAGTTTTTTTTTCTCTTCCATTTTTTGCTGCATACTACTTCCTGAACTCTGAAGAACCTTCATAGTGAGTAGATGTTCTCAATTTTCCACTCATCTGTCAGCAGTCCTACCTCCCTGCACTCTCCTTCTTGCTGTTTCCTCAGTCCTTCCCAAGGAATCAACTTCCTATCTTTTTAATCCTCTGTGAAAGCTCTCCAGCACTCACTACCAGCTCTGAGGTTATAGGAAACACCTTGCTATCAGTGAGAATCCAGTGATGTGGACCCTTCTTGGAAACAGGCTTAATTAACAGCATGCTCTCAGTAGTAAATGACAGTTTAGGTCATGGACCTGCATGTATTTTATCTTCTGAAAAGAGCCTGGGCATTGGGAGATTTTACTGCAGAGGGGTAGGAAGATGTGGATTGTGAATAAGCACACACTGAAAATGGATCAAACACTTAGGGGCCATACTATGTAACTTTTAGCCTTGTGTCTTGGTGAGGACCTTTGAGGGTCCACCCCATTTCTGGCAAGACCAGTCTTGGGCCAGGGTTACTTAATAGTCATCTTGAGACTCAGCCTTTCTAACCATAATCCTATGGTTAAGAATAGCATGCAAGTTTTCTTGATAAAGGCAGATAGCAGGAACTATGCACAAAAACTAAACTCAAAGCCTGTCACTCATTTATCATGTTGCCAAAAGTGCCATCTAAGACCACAACTGTGTCACAGACTTCTGGAAATTCAAATCTAAAAAGAAATAATAGGAGGTAAAATATTAACATACCATAGTAAAAATTAATGGTTAAAACCTATTAAATGTAGTTGCTTCTGTTATAGACATGAAAGACTTAAAAAAAGAATTCAGAATACTAATATTTATTCTGAAAAATTTCAAATTTATTTCAAAGTAGAAACTAGTATAAGGAAATTTCATTCACCTAACACCTAGATTCATTAATTATCAAGATTGGTGCATTTGGGTCATCTTTTCTTCCCTTTCCCCTTCCCCTTCTCCCCAGACCTTCATCAATGCACACTTTATTATACATAAAACTATGGACATGTTCATGTAGAACCATAACACTGTTGATATTCAACAAAATTAACAGTAATTCTTTGATTTCACCAATTAATCAGTTCATTAAATTTTCTGATTGTCTTAAAATGCCTTTTTTTAACAGTTGATTCATGTAAATTCCAATCCAGAGTCTTTGCATTTATTTGCTCTGTCTCTTAAATCTGTAAAGCAGTTCTTTTCCTGGTCACTAATTGCAATCTTATCTTCTATATCTGAAATTCTGTCCTCACATTGGCTCATTCTGCTGTGTAGACTTTCGATGGAGTTTTTCATGTCCTGGAAATCTATTTGCATCCGTTTTATGGATTCCATTTGTTTCTTATGTTGGGACTCCATCATGTTCCTCAGCTTCTCTCTAGATTTATTAATCATGTCTTGCACTAGGGGCACAATTTCTCCTGTTATCTGACAAATTATTTCTGATTTCATTTTTTCCAGATCCCCTTTTGTTGCCAGTTCAGTGGGTCCAGGTGGTTGAGTATCAGAGTGTTCCATCTCATTTCCTTTTGGGATTGCTGTAGGTGATCTGGAAGTCTGGTTTTGAGACTTATTTACATGTTTTCTCATTTCGACTGGGGCGGGGGGCTGTTAGCGCCTGCACGGATTACCTCCTCTGAGCTGGGTGAGGTGGGACAGGGGCCGGGAGCAACGGTAGGGATGGTGACCCAAAAGCCCTTTCCTGTGGGCTGGGAGCAGCCTGAGGGATGGTGACCAGGAAATCCCTTCCTCTGGACCAGGAGCAGTGGGATGGTGGCTCAGAAGCCCCTCCCTCTGGGCCGGGAGCGGTGGGAGGGATGGTGGCTGGGAAGCCCCTTCCTCTGGGCCAGGAGCAGCGGGACAGGAGGTGGCCCAAAAGCCCTTTCCTCTGGGCTGGGAGCAGCCAGAGGGATGGTGGCCGGGAAACCCCTTCCTCTGGACCAGGAGCAGTGGGATGGTGGCTCAGAAGCCCCTCCCTCTGGGCCGGGAGCGGTGGGAGGGATGGTGGCCCGGAAACCCCTTCCTCTGGACCAGGAGCAGTGGGATGGTGGCTCAGAAGCCCCTCCCTCTGGGCCGGGAGCGGTGGGAGGGATGGTGGCCCGGAAGTCCCTTCCTCTGGGCCAGGAGCAGCGGGAGGACGGCTCAGAAGCCCCTACCTCTGGGCCGGGAACAGTGGGACTCAGTACCTTGGTCTGGTGGTGTGGTGTCCTCTGCGTCTTTGTAATGTGGAATCAGGTGGCTGCCTGTCTGCAGCGGGGTGATTCGGTGTCTTCCGCGCGTCTCAGGACCTCGGTAGGGCGTGCGCAGACCTGCCTGTCTGCAGCAGGCTGATTCGGCGTGTGTTCCGCGCGACTGGGGCTGTAAAGCAGTTCTTTATCTTTTTTCGCCTGCCAGTGACTTACAGGGATCAGATCACTGGTCCTGCAGCACAGTCTAGAACAGTCGTGTTCTGGATTGGACTTAACTGTCTGTTTTTTTGTGCTATTGGTTAACTTGTTCTTCTCTCCTCCACATCTCCTCTGAATAGACAGTTGGTTCTGGAGGATTTATTACATTCATTTGCAACCTTTTGGAAAGAATACTTCATCGGTGGGACAGAAAGATTTGTAAAGCTAGGTTGAAAAAGCTTTGAAAATTCAAAGATGACAGTTCAAGCTTAAAAAATCCAAAGTTTGAATGCTGCACTGGGGACTAATGTCAGAAGTGAGAGAAGAATGACATAGACCTCAGGGACCAGGTGCCTACTTCAGAGTCATACCTCAACTAAGGGAATCAGAATTGAAAGGAGCCGTATTAGAAGTAAATTGATCCAGTGGTATAAAAAGATATCTGAACATCAACACTACCAGATCTTCATTAACCTCTCTCTGTGTAATCTTCATTACACAGAGAAGGAATTTCTTAGCCCTAGAAAAATATAAACTACTTAATAGTAGAAAAAAACACAAGTTACGGCTAAAATGGATTTATGTATTACTGAGTGGCAGTTATACCTTAGCTGGGTGGCAAATACAATGGACAGGTCATTTAACTCCAAGCCTCAGGTCCTTTATTGTTGAGACAGGGCTCTGTCACTCTATATTGCTGTACGGAATGAAGAAGAGGCCTTAGTATTGCTGTCCTGCTTCAATGCCTACACTTTTTTCATCCAAAGAGAATTGATTTAACAACTTGCATTACTGACGGTGCCAGCCGTCACTAGTCGAACAGTACCTGAGAGGAGGGGAGAGGATGAAAGAAAAACACAACCTCTGAGGAAAAGAAAAAGGAGAGAGGCGGAGGGGGGACCCCTCTTCCCACTTTATTGCCCTTTATATACCTTTTCCACAATCCCCAACCCCTCCTCTACACATAATTCGGCGCCTGATTATTTTCCAGGGAAAAGGTCAAATGTATCTTTACAACTCCGGGAATAACGTTCCCTTGCACTGCAGACATTCGAACTCTTTCTGTTTAACCACTCTCGTTACAAGTAACCATCCTTGTTTTTGTGCCAGCTGCATATCCAGGATTCATTATGTTCTCAAGAGACTCAGAGGTCTCTCAAGGTTATTTCAACCTTTCGCTCTCCACACATTACACACCTACTGTATTTTAGGTGTTAGAGTATAAGGGGTGAGCAAGGTAATAAAGCCTTGTCTCTGTGGGAAGCACCTTAAAATTCACCTGGTTCAGACTTGTACTTTATGCAATAATTTTTTTAAATGCTATGAGGCCTCAAGTTATGTGATGGGTTCTAAGGATAGAAAGAAGGAGACAGATTTGAACAGTATTTAAGAGGTCAAATGAATACAATTTCGTAATAGAGTTGATGTAGAGAATGGATAAAAAGGAAAAGAGTTTACTGACAGGGCTTTTCCACTGGAATAATTGTAAGAGAGTGGTGAGCATGGAATTAATGACTTTGAATTGAACATATGGAGTGTAAGATACTTACGAGATAGTTAAGTGGTGATGTCCATGAA